TCGCGAGGTTGTTATAGAGCGTACATTTATTTAATTCCGTAGAAAAACACAGTACAACACAACAGTAGTTGAGGTTTCGGCAGTATCGCCTTCTTCAGAGCCGCTTTTTTCGTGACTTCCAGTGAGGAAAACTAGAACAGATCGCAGATGCGACTATAATCAGCTCTCTTCCTCATTGGAAGCCACTTAAAAAGCGGCTCTGAAGAAGGCCGAAACGTCAGCTACTGTTGTATTGTATTGTATTTTTTTATGGAAATAAATGTACGCCGTTTAACAACCTCGCTTTTGCTGAACAAGAAAACGAAGCTAACATTACTGCGACGCAATCTCAACCTTTTATTTACTGCCTATTCTTTTTAATGGCAGGGTATGTTGTGAAATATAACCTCTACAGTGCTGAGATATTTGCAAAACCCCGGACCGCAGCTGTTTGTGGTGGGGAACGAACGCGTTATTGTCCTTTCGGGTGGCTAACGTGTTCACCACCACACCATGTTAGTCCTTTGTTTCGTCTGTCTCTCATTGCGGCAGTATTTTTTCCACAACAAATACAATTACGATGAGATTATGGGGAAAAGAACTTTTCATTGGCAAAAGTGTGTAGATTCAAATGGTTCTCATTCTGATTAATGTATGTTTAAAGCAAGTTTGAATACATTTTAAGTCAGTAGAAAGAGTGTGGGAACATAGTAAGGAAACGGACTTGTATTAGGTTGTTCAGGAATAAATGAGCGTTTTAAAATATTTATTGTTTTAATGTGCTTTTTACTAGTAAAATATTCTTTATACCTTGCAATATTATATATCACTAGAAAACCGGTTTTGTGCTCTTTCTTATTTTGTCAAAAGTTAATTTTTTTAACCAATTTTGAGCTTTGCCATTTCCCATGTCAAAAACGAATTTTCGTCAAGTTTTCTTTGATGAGTGCAAACTTGGCCGTAGTGCAGCAGAAACAACGACGTTCTCCACGACAACGCCCGGTCTCACGTTGCAGAACCAATGCTGGAGAAGTTGAACGAGTTGGGCTACGAAACTTTACGTTATCCGACATATTCATCAGACCTCTCGCCTACAGATTATCACTTCTTTAAGCCCCTTGACAGCTTCCTGCACGAGAAGTGTTTCACGAATCACGATGACTCAAAAGTGCTTTCAACGGATTCATCGCTTCCAGAGCTCCAGAATTTTATGCACCTGGAATAAATGAGCTTTTCATTGGCAAAAGTGTGTAGATTCAAATGGTTCTCATTCTGATTAATGTATGTTTAAAGCAAGTTTGAATACATTTTAAATAATATGGTTAAAAGCGCCCATTTATTTCTAAACAACGTAATAATGAGGTAGTGGCTTGTGCACTAGATTTATGAGATATGGTGTGTGAAAACAAATACGGCTTATACGAATAGGTAACTCAGCAATTGAATTGTATTTTATGAAGTAAAGAAGTAAGGTGAAGGAGCGAGCAACAAAGTGGCAGTGGTGCCGGTCATCACGAGCACAGTGCCAGTTTGATACCTCTCCAGGCTCAGCGAGCCTCTTATCCCTCCGAGACCGGGAAATTGGCATCGAGCTTGTCTGTCAAAAGTTCGCTATCTGCGGTCAGAGTAGGAATGCTCTAGCTCGGCTGTCTCATGATTCCATGGAGGGTCGACTCGACCAGCATTCAACGACATTCGTGATCGAAGGAAAATCCTGAAACAGCGGTCAAAACCACATGTAAAAAGTTGTGAGACCTTCGTGAATGATATATGCAAGGCGACGAAGTGAATGTGAAAAGCACTAAGATCCACACAGTAGATGTTGAAGACGGGTCGTAAAAAAAAGTAGGCTGATTTAGGTGACCAATATCCAAGCGAATGCCATGGCGGTATTCATGCTTCAATGGAGTGGAGAAGGTCGCAAAGTCGAGCTAGCAGGCGGTGCCACTTTCTCCACAGTTATAAATAGGATGGATGTTAAGTAATCATACGAGTTTTTTGTCAAGTAGTTCGAAATATAATAGGTTCATTCCCAGAACTGCGTTTATATTAATCTCGACATTGATAAATAAAGCCATTCCAGGCTTTGAAGAAATCGAAATCCGCTGAAACGTCAGCTGTTGCGAATAAATAATACGTAAACGTTTCCAGGCTCCGAAGAAGGTGAAATCAGCGGGAACGTCAGCTATTGTGAAGAACTAATATATTGTAACAGCCTCGTGTATGCTAATCAAGAAAATAGCGAATAACAATAGATTAATTCACTGTGTTCTTGAACAGTAGACACGAGGTCGTTATTACACTATTTATTCACAGTCGAGTCAATCGACGCTACTATTCCACTATTCTGTTATTCTACTACTCCAGCCAATGCCTTCCAAGAAACGCTCAACGAAACAAGCCGTAGTAGGGAGAACCTCAACGTAGGAGTCTACCTTTAAGTACGTTGCGTCAACTCTACAAAAGAAAAGCAACGACAACTGTCTTGTGTACTCGACAAGGACTATTAACAAAGGCAATCAACCGCCACGTATTTACCTTAAATAACTATCAAAACGAAATAGACGCTCCAGTGAACCTTCCGTCCGAACAAACTAGCAGAATCGATTACATTACTGGACGGCAAACGAAGATAGAGCAAGCAAAGTCGGGCATAGAACATGAGCGAAACAGCGCCCAGATAGCGCTGGACGCCTATGGCATAACTGCAGACCAACTTCAGTAAGCTCCCAATACTCGAAAGAGAAGCTGCAATGCACTGCCAGTTTGAACGTAGAGAAAACAATGGAGCATCTAGACGAAGCGGAACGCTGCATCTCTAATCGACTCATTCGGCTCATCATTTGAGAAAGGCGCTGGAAATCACGGAGATTAATCTACTAAATGACTCAAACCTCCATCGACCTGTGACGATTTTACCTCCCATCCATTTTACAAAGTTCAACGAAGTGGGAAGCATAAGTGACAATGAGTAAGCGAGTATGTGAGTGAGTGAGTGTGTGTGTGTAAGTGAGTTTGTCTGTGATATAAGAAAGTGGGAAGCATTTTGAGGGAGTATTCAATTATAATGTTCACTCGCGCCGGATGGACGGCCTCCAAAAAATGCTGGTTGCTCTTCAGGGACAAGCAAAAGAATGTGTCAAATATCGCAAAGCACTTACCCAATAGTGTGCTTATGTCTTACGCTTTCTTCAATAAGCAGCATAAGGTTGCTGTAGCAGATTCAGTGGTGTTATGAGTACATCTCATTAATCACACCGGCCTCCATATTACGCAACTGTATATTGTACATGCATTTCTAGTCTTATTGCACTATTGTGTAAATAATATGTACGTGTGTATAAAGGTTTAATTCCCAAGTTTGAGGTCTTGAAGCATACACGATTACACGAATAAAAAGTCTCGCGTAGCAAGTTAACTAAGTCGAGCAGTCCGTCAACAGTTGGCGGACAGAGAGCAAACCCGACCAACTACTAATATATTACACTCTATATTCCACTGCGCCAATCGCTACATTGATGCATTGGCCAACTCAACTCGAATTCAAAGAACAGGCACGGTACTCTTCTACTATTCCATTGCAATATGCATATATAATAAGGCAGTATGTTTATGTTACTGTAGAAATTTATATTACAAAGATATTACCCGCTTGGTTCAAAGTGCAAACGTCTAGATTATTCGTCTTGATATGTTCGTATGTTCTAACGAAGCATCCAAGACTAACCGTGGTAAATAATTTCCTGAACAGTCACCATCTATCTGTCTTCAATTGTTGGAAGTGATACCACCCGCAAAGTTGGCATAGCATTAGCTGGTTGTTTCAAGTCGAAAAAAAACTGCCCCGTCCTAAAACCTATTCATCGTAAATGAATTATTCTCAATAAACTACAAATTCAGTAAGCAATGATCTATCAAAACTAATACCATCACCTTCACTGCACTGGAGTAAATTATACAACGCTGTTTAACACAGACGGACTCGTAGGCAATGCGCTAAATGGTTGAATCGTAGTGTCATCGATGGTAATTCAACAATGGCTAGCAATCTTTCTGGATGTCTTTTTTTATGTGAAAACAGCGCAAGGGCTACACCATTTTATATCCGTCTAGAATAATTAACTCTAAGATCCGCTAAGGAGCTTTGCTAAGTCTACATATGACGCAAAAGCATGGTCACAAAGGTTTCGAAATGCATGCGCTACGATGCACGGGGGGGAGGTGAAAAATACCAATTTTCAAAACTATGGAAGCGTTCTTGATTGAATTCGAAAGCCTAAAGATGCAATGACTAGTACTTTAAAGTCTCACATGGTCTTGCAGCACATCTCAGGTTAATCCAATTTTTTGCTTCTTGACTCAAAAGGGGATGTTAGCTTTCGCCTCCTAACATTAGAACGACGAAAACGATAGACATTGGCCAATCGTTGCATTAACAACCTCACCTCGTCTTCACATGTTATTGAACTTGTTTTGGGCTTTTGTACAATTTAAAAAAGGCGAATTACTTCGTACTTTGTACTCTTATACCGAAACATTAAAACATTTCCGGCTACTATGACAGCATAGTGTAATCGTGTGAAGCGTGCATGCAGGGCAAGTCATTGAGTGGGTCAAGGTTAACCATACCAGCTGTTAGCCACTTAGGTGATCGGACTTTTTAGTATCGGATTCTACCAATCTTCACCGTAACTCGAATAGCTGCTCCTACCTTTCTTTCATGAAGCCTAACATTAGTAAAACAACCACATGTGCGGCGAGGAAACAAACTCTGTTCTATTTGACATTAGTCATTGTGAGATGAGTTATTCATTCGCGTTATTCGTTCTGTGATGCATCAGACTGCTCAACATGCGAAATTCTTTTATCTATAAGAAACCTTGAATTGAAAAACCATGACGAACTTTACCAATCCCGATTTCAACTATATTTTAATGGTAGCTGACTAATGTTTGCACGTCAAATTGTCGTTTATGCCAAATCGATTCTGCCTTCGGGAAGTGTCCTTTCGCTTTCCAGGAATGGCCACTCAATTGGGAGCGGCTCATGAGGCGGTTGAGAAACTGTTCCAGACGCTCACTGATTTAATGTATGACAAAAAGAAGCACGTCTTACTTGAGAAAGTACTTGCCGCTGCTGAGGAGAAGATGAACATCAAGAGAGAGAAGGTTTTCGTGATTTGCTAAAGATTAACGCGGAAATGTAAATACAGTCTTCATAGAGCACGCAGCAATAAGATATCAAACATGACTGAAACAGAAACAACTGAAACAAACTGAAAAAAAGAAACTCTGACTGAAGAAAGAGATCTGAATTCGTCGACGACTTGCTTCGTTGTCCCAGTATATCTGCAACTTTTTCGTCCAACTTAGGAACACGCCTGCATATGACCTTTGTGATCTTCAATACCATGTCTTAAAACTTTCGTGCTATTGATATGAATATAAACATGGTTATGTTACACTTACACATGGGCGCGTGTGGCGCAGTGATCGGAGGCGCCCTGCAACACACACGTGGAGTCGATCCACGCGCCCATGGTCCACCAAACCATCCATCTCTCCAGGGTCGACGAATTGGTGCCAGACTTGTCTGGGAGGATAGCAGCACTGGCTCGATTCATCAATAGGCCACCGCAAACCATTGTAAAGGTCAAATATGCATTCAATCACTCCCAAACGATGCTTAATGAAGTCGAATGCATGGCGCATCTCTCAAGGGTTGATTGGCGCCGAGAGCTTTTAGTTTTTCACACTTTCGACTTTACATTCATTCGTGTAAATCCATGTAAAATGAATGCATAACTTTTGAATAGGTCCTTTTCTTCCCATCAGATGCCGTTTATTTTAAAGTACAATGACAAAAACGGACTTTGTGGAAACGTTTGAAGTGTTGTTATGAAAAAACAATGAGGTAATGATAGGCTTTCAGCGACTTTGTTCTAACAGTATTCCAAGGCTATGTCACGCTTTTGCGTGGCTTCCATGATTTCCTTTCTAATGAAATATTTTTTTAGTTAGTCTATGGAACAATAGTTAGTCTGATAGTCTACATCATACTCAGTTCATTGGCTCAGTTCCTCTCAAACCTCGTTGGATTCATCTATCCGGCTTGGCGATCCATAAAGGTACTGACTACTGATTTTTTTCTTGTTTATATTGTTATCACAATCCACTAGTGGAAAGATGCCAGTTCTAAAAGAATATATTTACATCTTCATTCTCGTTAATCTGTTTACTTCAACTTGTCGATAACTCAGTTCCATCACTGATGATAGGCACCTAATTTTCGACCAAATTTGAAATTATATTTCTATTAGAGCCTCAAAAATATACGAAACGAGCCAAAATTTTGCCAGTTAAGCAGCAACTGAAACCAAACATAGTAGAGGACGAACTAGTCATCCTAACTGCTGTCTAGACGCACTTATTTACCGGGTGGAGCAGTGGTAAGTAATGCAGTCCATCAAGAAGGAAGGTTCTGGTTCGTCCCTCCCGAACAACCCACTCCAATACGCGTCGGAGCGCCTTAAGCCGCTATAGTAGGCCTGTCAATTCTCAGTCGCTATCTTTCTGGCCCATGATAACCTAGGCAATGATAGCACCCATCGATGTTCAAACTTCACGTTGCTGACATAGCGCTATCCACGACCACCTGTGTTCCGCGGATGACTCATCAGTCGTTGCCTATAGCACCATCAATGCTCATGTAAATTACTGTGCTCATCGATCATGCTAAAGTGCATCTCACCGCTATAATGTTGAACCTTAACTTAGCCGAAAACACGGCTCGTCTGCATCCCTCTCCGCCCCCAGCGTACTGAATCCCTCAGCCACCGTACCGGCGGCGGATAGTGCGGGTGCGACGTCGCCCATGGCTAACAAGTCGCTATTTTTATGTTGCTATTATTGCTATCATTATTGTATTAATGTTGTGGCAATGTTCCAATGCCATTATTTCGTTATTAGCCTCACTTCACTACTAGCCATAGCACCTCATAACTTTAACTTGCGTGGTTCTTATACCAATACTTTTCTATCGTTACTATTATGTTATAAATGTTGTACTTATATTTATGAAGGTCTAATTACCCAAGTTTGAGCTGTGACACATCGCTTCTGCAACTCAGGAAGACCTGCACGTCGTCTTTGTGCAACTAACTCTCTAACATTACAAGCACAGTGCTCAGACACACTGTGCAGTACATACAAGGTCACTGCTTTGATATTGCGCCAGGTTAACCAAACTTTTCTCTGGGCTGCGGAAATTGATATTATAGTTGTTTGGGAAAGGTTTCCTCCCAAATGTATGAATTGCTAACCGCCTGGGGTGAATGCGTGGCCCAGTCAACGCTCTAGTAGAGCTATCCCAGCATGCCAACGAGAATCGACTAGTCCAGTCTATACAACTAGGAGAAAATGAATAAAGAATTCCAAAATTTAAAAATTGGCATCTTTCATCCGTAAAAAATTTGATTTGTTTTTGTAAACACATTAGTGCTGTAATGCGTTTTAGTGCATCTTAAATATCAAGTGGTCTTGGAAATTTTAGGCTGTTCGATCACCTGGCAAAGAAGACGACACTCAGTGGCTGACTTACTGGATCGTCTTCTCTTCATTTTCTATCATTGATTTCTCGGTGTTCACATCAATACCTTTCTACTGGTTATTTAAGGTATTCAATTATATAATGCATTTTGTTTCCAATGAGCTACACTCGCCATCTTATCTGCATCTCAGATCGCTTTCCTCATGTATTTATACTTGCCGACGTTCAACGGCGCGACTGTGCTCTACTATTCGTTTGTCGATCCCGCTTGCACGTTCGTGGAATCCTACTTTTCTACTATTGAAAAGAGCAAGGACAAATAAGTGGAAGTATTTTGTCCCGAGAACTGTGATCCTGTCCTTGCCAATATTGTTTTTCGGTGAATGAATTTTTTATTTGAAATTAAACATGAACTATTCTCCACATATCAATGCGTAGTGGTCTAATTGATGAACTGCACGGAACCAATAAGTGTCGCCTATACCCATGCATAAGCCGGTGCGAATGCTATCCCGTGAAACCTAAAGAGTTCATTCCTCGCTTCTTACGAAACTGTTGGACCGTAGTTTGCCGAATAAACGAGCCCAAATGTATCCATAGATAGAGTAGATCCAGAAGCGATCAACCATATATACATGTATCCTGATTTCGAATTTTATCTACACTTTATTACACTCCATTCATCTAGTATATTTTGTAGCAGTCAATCTTTCTTTGATATCAGATGAATAAAACGGTTTTCTAGAGCACTAGATGAAATATTTCTTTATAGCAAGTTTTTGATCTGGGCCACGAGTTTGCCTCAGCTACAAAGTCAGGGTAAAAGCTTAGTTACGTCTCACATATTTGAACGTGATTTTCATTGCTTAACGAGAGAATAAAAATATTCATTCTGAAATCCGAACAATCTCAACGCTGGTCGTAAGCATTTGAACTGGAATATGCACGAAGAGTACCACTTCAAGAGTGAGTGATGCTCGAAGGTTCTTTGGAAGTGGTAGAGTAAAATGAGAATGTGTGCAACTGCTTGGAACAAGTAATTTTCGATCGAAGCTAGTTGAGATCCACTCAGTAGATAGCTTGTTCCAGTATGATCACAGTTTCCAAACGCTGTATGCAACAAACTTAAAGTGATGAAATTCGCTAGACCGACTTTCTATTAACATTGGCACTGATCAAATAGTTCACTAATTTCTCGATGAGCAAACACGCGGTTGTTGTCTTATTCTTTATTTACAAAAAGCTGGTGTTTCGGCGGATTTAACCCTCTTCAGAACTTGGAATGATCAACTTCATCGAAACCTAGTTAGCCAAATACCGCTATAACCAAAACGGAAAAATCACAAAACCATGATTTGAATCGCATTGAAAACGAAGTAGCTTCTTGGTACCCTCACCAATTTCTGTCGTTCGCTGAGTATCTCACGTGGAGATCAACCGCACAGAGTTCACATGGGAAGGTAGTCTGCCTCTCTCACATTAAAACAGCTGTTTTAAATACTGTGTGAGGCCACATGTGATTACGAGGCATTACTCTCTGCAGTTCACTTTCGGATTCCTGAAATTTATCCAGAATGCTTCCAGGGTTTTGCGCACCGGTGTTTTCGATTCCTGTGAGTGGGTGCTAACATCAGTTATATTTCAAAATCTTCATCGTTATGTCATTGCGCCCTATGCGGTGCCTAGTGGAGTATTTGCTTTAGCTTTAAATTAATCGGCTAAATGTTCTTCTATACGGGCATAGTGTGGGATACCTGTTTTTCGTTTCCGCTCGCTTTACAAGAGATCGGATAAACCGTGTCAGAACACATGCAATCACCGTCTCTGCCGTTAGGGCTTACCATGCAATTTCCCGACTTTCCCATTTTGGTCATGGAGGTATTTGGCTGACTAGGTCTACTTGACATTTCCAGGCCCTGAAAAGGGCAAAATTTCCTGAAACGTCAAAGTAATAAAATAACAACCTCGTACTGGATGATAAAGAAAATAGTTAAAGCAATATTTCTCAGGGAGTTGGTTTTAAAATTTTAATGAAAACGAACGTGACTTCTGCCGAGCATAGAACTCGTTTGTTTATTTTCTCATTATCCCTTCTGTAATAGATTGGCAGCACGATAAATACCATATATCCTTATTGATTACTTACTTGATACTTGAACGACCCGTCATCACTAGTGATAGGGCCCCAGCATAATCACCATTTTTCGGAGATTTGCTGGTTAAGCCATTGTGGGTCCTGGAATCCCGAGGAAAGCATGGCCAAAGTCTGCCCTAGGTCGTCACCACGACAGACAGTCGCAGCCCTTGTGGATCAGAGGGAGATTTGCCACCATGAAACTTTGATACCAGGAAGGTGGCAGATCCTGGTATTGGTTTACTCTTAGCTAGGCTTCCTGATGGAAACGCCGGACTCCCTCTCAGCTTGGGAGACCTTGCCGGGGAGACAGATGCCCCCTCTGTACATCCCATATCGACACCCAGGAACACCTCTCAGCCACGATGAGGTGGTAAATCGTTGGGAGGTATTGATTACTGCTGAATTTAAAGCAAAAATCTAACTCAAAAGAAAGCTTCGTATTCCCATAACTGACTTTCTATCAACCTCGGCATCCATCGAATAATTTACTGTTTTCTTTATTAGTAGATAAGAAGCTGTTAACCACAACGTTTATTCTGTAAAATTCTGGATGATATTTCTGTTACCGTTGCTGAATCGCAACTAGGAATGCTTTGAGGTCACGTGTGACTTCGTGCCATACCTCAGGCTGATTTATTCTGACCTAACCCAGGCACATTCCTGACCCATGTAAGACTCTGTGTGAATGGTCTTCGTTGGAACTGGAAGAGGAAGGCTTACGAGGAACAAAACAGTGAATATTTCAGTATTTCAAAAGCGACCTTCTGTTAACCTCGGTATGGAATAATCAACAACAGTGATGGGTAACAGTAAACTTGCCATTGAAACAAAACTGTGAATGCTTAAAGGAAGCTGTTTACTACTTATTGTTTAGTATTTACTATTTGTTCTTATTTACTTACTTTATTATTTACCCAGTTGTTGAAAAACATTCCAGCCCATCTTACGAATACCCAGATGTTTTCGGACCGTCTACGTACTGCGCAGACCAGTAACGCGTACGTGATAGAGACCTTCGACGTTACCGCCCTGTATACAAACGTGTCAAATGACTCCGCAATGCGAGCCATATTCGAGCTCCTTATACAACACGAAGGAGAAATAAACATGTATGGCTTCAAGATAGAGCAGTTGATGGTACTCTTAAAAGAATGCTTGAGCTGCTCAACCTTTATATAGTCCGGAAAGTTACTTGCCACCTGTAGTCCCGTTGACCGTCGAGTGACTCGAGCGGGCGCCAGTAAATCTTCCATTTCTCCCTGTCACGTGCAAGAGTAGCCCAGTGAGTTCTGCTCGCTCTAGGGACTCGTCGAGCATCACATATTTCTTCAAGGCTCTTTGTGAACAACTCTCACCATCGGCTGGGTGGTCCTCCTGCACTACGTTTGACATCCCGAGGGATCCAGTCACTAATGGCGCTTGTCCATCGGTTGTCATTCATACGTATTACGTGTCCGGCCCACCTTATCCTCGACTGTTTGGCCTACAGAACGGCGTCTTTGATTTTTGACCGTCGACGCAGATCGGAGCTTCGGATCCAATCCCTTACTTGTGTGGAACGGGATACTCCTAGCATCATCCTTTCGAGCGCGTTCAATAACACGCTGATTGGTCTTCAATCCCGCTTACGCAGCTATCTGAACGTGGGGCTGGGTATACTCACGGGTAGTTTACCAGGCTCTCCCAGAGTGGACATTGAGCTTATTTGTTGGACGCGACTCCTAACGGCCTCCCATATACTTCCCTGTCACTTGATTGCAAGCTTTTGGCCGAGTTGACTGGTATAATTCAATCTGCATATATTAGAATGCACCCACACACGCATGCATGAAAACGCCTCGTAAATACAAGAATGTATGTACCAAATCAGCGCAACAGAAACAGGGAGTCCATCCCATGGATCCACCTGCGTCTCAGGAAAGCAAAGGTCGCTTTTGGTCCATGATTAATCCCCTCTCGGCCATCTGGGGACGAGCCACGTAGCCTCGCGACTAACCGGCTCGAGATCTCTCATATGAAGGTGATCCGTGGGTCCGAAAAGTACTACGCTCAAATAAGAGGATTGGCAATGGGACAACGACTGACACCAAGTCTTGCCATTGCGTTTATATCCAAGGTGGAATCACCAGTGTCCGATCTCGGACCGTTACTCTACTGTAGATGTATGGATGACTGTTTTGTCCGTTGTTCAACACAAGAGGGAATGGACAAATGTTTCGAGTTGTTGAAAGGCTCCAAAGATGACCAAATTGCCGGAAAGTCACTACTAACAAGATCTTTTATGCTAATCAAGAAGGCAGTGAAAGCTACGTATAATTTTGTTATATATGTTGAATAAATAGCCATTACAAATTAAGGTCTCACCTATTTTATCGGTTAGCTAAATCAAGCACCTGTGTTCCGGAGTATTGCAAATATCTCAGCATCATTGAAGTTATATTTCGCATTATACTCTGCCATTAAAAAGAGTAAGCAGAAAATAATAAATTAAAACATCAAGAGTTTTATCCTTTTTTTTGTTAATGTCATCCTAAATATAGGTACTGTATCCAGTTTCTCCGACCCCGACCTTCAGCAGCGACTATATTGATGTTCAGAACAACTTCCAATCAACGACTATCATCATAGTGCTTATAGAAAGTATAGAATTGCACTTGAAGGCACTTTTTTTCCTGGACAGAGATTTTTATGCACTTTGACGCATTCGTTCTTTCATGAGTCGAAGCGACTGAGCATAAAAGATGTGCCTTTGCCACAAGAGTAAAAAAAGAGTAGGCAGAAAATAATAAGTTAAAATTGTGATTATAACTACAGCCTCAGCTTAACTGGGTTCGCTGCCGATTTGGGCCCCCAGATCAATCCCGCTGATGGGTAATTGCTGCGGCAAAGATCGATAGAACTAGCTGAGAGGAAGGCGAAACGAAGGACCCACATGGTGTGATGGTGAACGCGTAACTCCCCAGAAAGGACAATAGCGCGTTCGTTCCCCACCGCATACACCCGCAGTCCGGAGTTTTGCAAACTCTTGATGTTGATCAATCCTTTAGGAGTACTTCATGCATTCGACTCCATTATACATCGTTGGAGATGATTGGATGCATATTTGGCCTTTACAATGATTAGCGGTGTGCTACCGATGTATCGAGCCAGTGCTGCTATCCTCCCAGACAAGTCTGGTGCCAATCTGCTGACTCCGGAGAGACGCAAAACTTGGTGAGCTTAAGGTGCGGGGATCGATTCTACGTGCATTGTAGGGTGCCTCCGTCCGCTGCGCTACACACGCCCCTGAGACGAGATTGTGGGGAGTAACTTATGTACAAGCTATTCTACTTATTCGTTCGATCCTAACTTTACTGCTACCAGACTTCTGGAATATTCCTCGGAGTAGACAATATGCGTTATATTTTAGTAGTGGAAGTGCTTACTTGCACCTAATTGCAGCATCGATACTGTATCCAGGGTAAGGAATTCTACGCAAACTCTAGTGTCAACTAATCAGTCAGCCTCGTCAGATTCACAAACAACTACAAAAAGTTCACATAGTTTACTAGGAATGAAGCAATTGCACATTTGTAGAATCACTTGTAACAAAACACCGAAATCGAACCCCAACTGAACTTCCCGACCTCTTTCGTGAGAAATCTCGGGCCGTTTAGTGAGGCAACGTGGAATCTTCCTACACAGCGAGTGGGAGTTAGAAACTAGCCACAAAAAGTTACCACAATTGTACCAAGGCGCACGTGCATTCAGGGAGATGCGGTCGGCGTTTCCATTGTCAAATACTTTCTTATGTACATTTGCTGGAGTGTACTTACTTGAATACGGAATGTGCTGCACATCTAACCAATAACAACCTACAATCAGCTAAATGGAAAGTACATCAGGAATGGTCTCGTTTTCATATTCACTCCAGAAGAAGACATAAAGCTAGTAGCAGCTAAGGCTCAGCAAGCTAGGAGAAACTAAAATTGCGTCAAAACTTGACATGAAATCACCTCATACGAGAAATGTTATGTTTCACGTTCCTCGAACAGACTTAGCTCTTGAGTAGGTTAGCTCCAGTTTTTGAGAGTAAAAAATGTAGCATATTACGGCCTGTATGAGTGATTAAAGAGGACTACATAACCTGAAGAGGGAGGGTGTAGCACAGTTGTTAGAGGCGTCCTGCAATACACAAGTGTTCGATCCTACACCCCAGGGTCACCAAGCCTTCCATCCTTCTGGTGTCGGCAAATTGGTTTCAGACCTGTCTGGGAGGATTGCGTCACCAACTCGATACAGCCCTTGCAAGTTATTGTACAGGCCATATATCAATTCAATCACTTCTAACCATGTTTGATGAAGATGAACGCACGACGCATTCCTCAGGATTTGATCAACACCGAAAGCTCTATCCTTTTATCCTTTTAAGATGGCCTGATCTGAATGCAGAGATCATCAGAAAATAGAGAAATTTGTGTTATGAAAATATGTTACTACTAACGAATCTAAAACGACTATTAAAGTTTCCACTTTGCCTTGAAAATCATTTAATATTAAGGAAGTCTTGCTCAGTGGACAAATCTCATTCGTCAAGGTAGAGAGTGGGAGCGCTTCGCTGCGTCCATTGCACGTCGGAAGAGAGGCGGACGAACAGACTACGAGCGTAGCTGCAATCCATCAAAGCATCCGATTTCATTTCGGGTTAAACAGACAAAATCAGCGAGTTCTAAAGAACGTGCTGTATCAAAAAAAACCGACGAATCCAACAGTTAAAGAATCTAGTTTTTTTCGTGTGCTGTATTCAATCTTATGCCCGGTGAACAACGATAATTGCGCTATTTTCAAATGATTATAAGGACTTGAATAAAATATTTTTTAACTTCTATTTACTGCCTGTTCTTTTTTCGTGACAAGATATTTTGTGAAATACAATCACAGGGATGAAAAGATAGGAGTAAAACTCGAATCTTCAGCTGGGATCCGAACCCTTGATTACCTTTTCTGATGGCTTATGAACTATTCGCCACACCAATTGCAGACCTTTTGCTCACATCTCAGCATCCTCGTGGTTATTTGCTCACATGGATACTTGGATGGACCGTCTTCACTCGTTCTGCAGGCTCAAGCACAATTTCCATTTCGCGGAGATTTGCTCGTTTAGCCATCGTGATTACCTGTTGTCCCAAGGTCAGCCTCACCGAAGCCTTCTTCAGGTTACCACCACCCGAGCCAGTGGCCGCCTTTGTGGATCAGAGGGAGATTTGCCATCATGGGAATAGTTTGTTACCAGAACAATGGTGATTCCTGTATTGGTTTACTGCTAGCTCGACTTCTGGATGAAAACGTCGAACTCCTTCTCTGCTTGAGAAGTTCTGTTGGAGGGATGAACTCCCCGCTGTACATTGCGCCCGACATCCAAGAATAATTCGCCGCCACGATGAGGCGATAAACCGTTGGCAGGAACCTTGTGGTCCAAGAAAATGTTTGCTAGCAACAAGTACACAACTCTCACTATAGCGATCATTAGTAAGAAACGGCAAATACATACAGAACAATAGGTTTTGTAGGACCGCGACGCACCCCGCCCTTATCGCCACAGCATAATTTTCGCAAAGCAGTCAAAACAGAGACTGAAACTGTTTCAAGTAGAACTACCAAGAGTAAGAAACCCTCCACTAAATAACACCTACGCACTTTACTTCTTAATCAGCCGATATGAAAAGAACAAGCTAGTTTCTATAATATTTAAATAGCCAGACGACTCTTACCGTTCATCATTCACTGGAAGGAAAGGCTTGGGAAAACAGGTAAACAGGGCGAAAACTTCTTTTGACTAGTACATGGTCTACTGTCTCGGTTCCATCGATCCCGAGAAAAATACTCTACACATTTACATGGCCCACCATGCAGAATCTAAGAGCTTCGTTTGACTTATAGTTCGTAGAGAATGTTTACCTGTAACCAACAGCATATTTGATGTCCAAACTGATGGCCAAATAGTTCAGATCCCTCGAAAATTTTGTTCTAGGTCACTAACATCCCGAGTTCTTCGCACTGTAAGCCGGTGCTACGGATCCATAGAGGTTCTCGTTTAATTCATAGTATGTAATTTTAGCGGAAACAGGCAAACGACTTTGTTGTGGGTGACTTTTCCTGGAGAATATGGACAAACGTTGAGACCAGAACACTTCCCACACTTCAACCTAAACTTGGGTGATTTCTAACGAACGAACTGATTTTAAGGTAGAGAGTGAGAGCGTCTCCCTACGTCTATCGTAGCTTAGAAATAGCGCTATTACTTGTAGTGGAACGAGAAAACCGAATACCATGGGGGCCACAACTACAGAGACGTTCTTTCTGGCCCGGGAGTGTTCCGAGAAACAAAACGCCGAGACGACAGGCACATGGCCGAATCGATGACGAGAGAGCGCCATGCAGTTGCAAACGCAGACGTGCTCAGCTGCATCAGAGAGCGCGGTGACTGGCAAGACGAGGCGTGGTGCAGACGACGAGCGTTGCAGAGAGATCATTGCTTACGGCAAGCGTGCCAGAGCAACGCAACGAGCACAGACGCCGCTTAGTCGTCCCCATTCTCACCACTCTACTACTTCTTCCTTCTCTGTTCACTCTTGGCCAGAGATCAAGCGTAGCTACAGTATATTCCGTATGTTTTTTGTAATTATTTATAATGCTCATAGAGTCCAGTAGTCATTCACTTTGTGATACGGTAACCATTGGATCAATAATTTCGTTTTGATGATCATATGATTTGATTTTTCTACTTCTCATCCACTTTTCATTGTTTATACTTCCCACTGGCTTCAGTTCGTACCGTCAGAACGATTCTCTTCATCATTTCGTTCACAGAGACTGCAAAATTGCACCTCTTGAGAAAGTTTCCTATACGTGAGCATGTGAATAGCATGCCGGCCAGCATGACAGCAAGCACCACCGAATACCGGTGGGTCAGACGAGCTTCTGACGATGAATTCGGCGTTTCTCGTTTCCATTAGCGCTTTTCCGGAGAACTTTATGATGTTTCGCGTATACACGATCGTAGTTTTCCATTCGCCTGGCCTGCTCGCCTATCGCCCTCTGCGATCGATACGATGACGCGGCGCCGGTCGCGTCGCCGCGCTCCGCGCCGGCCACGCTCTCTCGACGCTCAGCGACCGCGCGCACCGCTTTGCCGAGGTCTCTCATTCGCGTTCCGCTCGGCGCCCTCATACGACCACGACCACTCTCCTCGTCACCTGCACCGCCATCATCTCCTTTCACTTGATCTTTGGCCGATCTGGCTAGAATCGTAAATTATAAACATTTTATGAATGAAGCTGAAATACTCTGAAACGCTAGCCGATTTTAGTGACTTTGGGGCCGTACCTTAGAAGTTTTGTTAAGCATTCGACACTCTTTTTGCCGTAGAACTCGTCACACTTGATGGAAGTAGCTGAATCGTGTGTATCCCCTGTCTAGGGACTGAGCTAATGAGTGAGAAAACATATTTCGTAACTATGGTCTGTGCAGTTAGTAAACGCGTAGTGTGTTTACCCGCCTGGATACTTCGTTGCTTGGCCCTTCTTCGCTGGTTGTGAGGGCCTCAATATGATTTCCATATTTTCGGAGTTTTGTTGGTTTAGCCACTGTTGTTCCCTGGAGTCAGCCTAGCGAAAATCTGCCCCAGGTCGTCACCACCACAGACAGTCGTCGCCATTGTGGATCAGAGGAAGCTTTGCCACTATGCGACTAGTTTGATACCAGGATGGTGGTGATTGGAAGCTTTGGACTCATGTTCAGCTTGGGCCCAGCGAGGTGGGAAGGGGAATGGAGCTTTGCTGTACATCGCAGTTCGACACAGCTACACCTACGAGCTACGATGAGGCGATCGACCGTTGAGAGGATAGTTTATTTACACACGTAGTAATTATTTTGGACAAGAAACTTTTAAGTAAAATATTGCGGAAGGACGAAAGAAATTCAGAGAAGCTTATACAGGTTGAGAATAGTGTCTGTTTCATGGTTTCTTCCTGTGATGTATCCATTGCCCTCGAGAGTTTTCCATTACTTATCATTCGAAGTGAGATATTTGTCTTGTTACTAGTCTCATTATCACCATGCACTAATGGTTACCTCTTGAGGGTTTTGTAGGAGCAAATTCAAAACAACGATCGAAATATCACAGCTTCCAGTGCAGTCTATCGTGGGCAAGGTCTTTTCGGAAAAAGAAGGAAAAAAAATCGGAAAAGATAGACTGTCTTTATTTCAGTATATTCTTGTTAAGGAAATGCAAGGCGCTACTTTATTCTTTATTGACAGAGAAGCTTGCGCTTCGGCGGATTTTCCCTTCTTCAGACCCTGGAAAAGTCAAGTTGTCTGCAATCCAGCCGGCCAAATACCTCTGTAACCTAACAGAGAAAGTGCTAAACCAAGCTTTCAGTCGCATTGAAAAGGAAATAACCTTTGCACAATCACCGTTTTGTATAAGTTTTTCACTAAGTTTTCTACGTGAGGACCAACAAGCGCATTGAGTTCACATAGATGAATAGCATACCTCTCTGACAGTGAGATATTAATCTGAGATAGTTTGAGATCAGTCATTATCATTGTCGTTATTTCAATTTAACTCTCTTTTTTTGGTACATTGCGTAAAGCGGTCAAATTTGGTAGTTGAATAGCTTTTTTTCTGCTAGAAATCCTGCATCAGTAAGGTGCTCAGGATGCTTTTTGTTGAAGGGTGTTAGATGAACCTTTGAAATACTCGTGATGATAGAAATTTCAATTTCTCAGTAGACCGACAGGATATGCTACAGGATTTTCCGGTTACTGTAATATACTAGATAGTTTGGGCGAGTCGTCAAAATTGTTTCCGTTTTTCGGTTATTAGGATGTGACACAAGGAAATACGTAAAGGCACTTAGACGAACTTTAGCGCGTTAGCTTGTTGTTAGGGTGTGTTGTTTTTTAACTTTGTTTTATATTAAAAACTTTTTTTTGTTTTATACGATCCGTCTTCACGTCTGCTTTGCGTATTCCATCAATTCTCACATTCGATTCGTTTCCTCGCATCCATCATCCGCTAAGGTTTTCCAAGTTTTACGTGTGGTTTCGCCTGCTGCTTGGAAATTTCCATTTTATCGTGAATATAGTAGAATGGTTGGTCGAGTCGTCTTTCAATGGAGTCGTGGGATAGCTGGCTTTGGGTAGTTCCAGTTGGATTGTAGGGAGTGATTTTTACCCGACAAGTATGGTAGCAATTTCGCAACTCCAGAGAGATGGGAGACTTGGTGGGGCAGGTGCAGGATCGAACCAGTACCGTGCTCGTGGTGACCGGCATCACTACCACTGTGATATCTTCGCCTACTGAACGCCGTTCTCCATTAACTGGGACTTATTCTGTAGATTAGTCAACAGTTGTGAAGGTGCTATTGTTCGTAATATCGACATGGAATACGATCGGTTCATTGGACATCTTCACGTTAACGGTATGAAAGTTGATAGCTTGAACCAAAAGAAATCTAATGAATGACTTACCTAACATAATTGATCAACTACCCTTTGACTGGTTTGTCGAGTGTTAGAGCAAAACATGACATTTTATAACTTCTAAATAATCTTATGGGCATCATTATTTTACGTGTGTGGTTTTATAGATGACGGTAATAGTATGAATAATCTACGTACGAGGATGGACAGGTAAAAGTCATCGCAGTGGTACTGGTGCTGTATAGTACGATCACGAAGTGCTCGAATCCTAACAGTATGTTTCGTGTAAAATAAAATAACAAATATGACTAACGTATTTCTAGAGGGCTGTCAGGACTACAGCACGGTGCTGTGAGGGGAACATAAAGTGATTGTAGGGAACTCATTGGGATTCTAGGTTTATGCGTAATAGCTTGCAGAGGGAAACTCATAGGAATTTTAGCTGCTACCAAGATGGAATATTTGAGTCCGCACGTTCGTTACATAGCGCGTATTCTAGCTCTCCAGGAAGCTTTATTAAATCCATTCATGGATATTTTTTTCAACGTCGTACTCACTTTGTAATCTGGTGACATGGAGCTTGCTGTGGTTTTCTGAGATGGGAAAGTGTTTAGCAGATAACTCTGTTTTGCAAAGAGAATTTGCCGCGTTGCTTTCTCGTATTTGACTTCGAGACATTTTATGCTCAGTCGATGTCTAGTGCAAGCCTACTTATTCTTCCTCATAAAACCTTCCTTAGCTTTTAGGGAAAAGTTGTGTAACTTATATCAATGAACGTTGTTGTATCATCTCTGAGTTCGAAGAAGTGCTATCCATTCTTTGTTAAATTCTTTTTTGTAGGCGAACATTTCATTTTCAGATGAACCAAAATTTAACCTACACAACGTACACAACAGATCCCCGTGCTCCTCAAGGACAGCAGGTAGACAGCCAAGTGATTTTATAATCAGCAATAATGGTTGTTTAAGAAGATCACTGCTTCTATTGAAATAGTACGGGTGATTGCTGGCAGCACCTGAAGCACGGCTGAGAGATGAGAGACAGGCGAGACGAAAAACCCGCATAGTGTGGTGGCGAACACGTTAGCTCTCAGGAAGGATAATAACGAGTTCGATCACCACCGCAGACGGCTGCGGTCTGGAGTTTTGCAAATATCTCAGCATCGTTATTTTCAGATAGCAATTTGGATGTTTCTAAATTGAAGAAAGTGATCCCTAGTATATGACGAGGTCTTAGTTTACCACTTTCTAATTGTATGAATAGTACTGTTGCAAGATCTTCGATTTCACTTTTAAGCGCCCCTTAATTTTTACAATGTTGCGAATAAGCCGTCGTCGGGGGATTAGGAAGAGTGAAATATTATTCGAAGCTATGACCAGATCTGTTGGGAGTGATGAAGTCTCTCCACTACGTTACTTTTCAGGGGATGTCATTTCATCCATCATCGTACCAATCTTCGACCTACACAACTTCATCTACAGCACCATTCCATTCCTCCAGCTCCACTGCATTCATTCCCAACAATACAATTACAGTGCGTTTTTGATAGTAGTTCAGTCATAAGACTACAAGTATAAGAGCAGTTTTGACAACTGTCTGTACGTCATTAAAAAATTGAGGTCTAAAGTCAGTCCATTTTTGATACGAGATTTACTTCGTAAATGATTTGTCGAAAATATTCGCGGTGGTGGTCGATCTAACAGAGTCATATGTGGTTCATGTCGTCATGGAATATCATGCTCTTTTTTGTTCTTCGACTTCAAAAATATTCAGTACTGAACTTAAGAAAATGTAAGAGAACGAAAGCAATTCGAATTTGCGCATCTTTAACAACGTGACGTAGATTTACTTAGTCTACAATAGTGAGTGTTTTTGTGAAATCTACGAGAAGTTTCTCTCTTCTGACTTTTTCCGTCTCTTCGAGGTTGGTTTGTCGAGTAGTGAAACGATTGAACAAATGGGATGTTGTTCAGTGGGATATGACGGTTTTCGACGTTCATGAATGCGTCTCTGACGTCAACATCCACGCTCGCGTTAAAAATTTTAGTTTCATGAAGGCTTTTTTTTAAGACATTTTTTGCCAAAAATTAAAATAGGAGTAATAATTCTGAAGAATTTTATATTACCCGTTAGAACAGCGGTGTTGGGGTCTTCTATGAATGCTTGTCAAAATGTCATGTACTCAAAGATAGGGTGAAACAGTTCTAGTTTTCTGCAAATTATCAGCACTCATTGAAAAAAGTGGTGTGATGGCGAATCTTTTAATTGGATGGGAGAGATGTTTGTAATCCATTTTTTATGTGGTGTAGCAGAACATTTTTTAACATCATATGTGGATGCATCACTGGTGAAATTGTTTTAGAAGTTTAATTACTTAATCGCTTAAATCACCTATTTGAAATACCAGGAAATATTTTTCCTTATTGTTGATTCCTCGAATACCTTATGTTTTAGTTGCAACAGGCACCCCAATCGAGTCGTGCTGGTCAGGTTACCCAAACCCAAATGCGTCTTTCAAACGACAATGACGAGAAAAGGATTTCACAACTACTTGACACGTATTTCTTGGATCAGCCTGCACCATCTACATCAACATGGGCAACATCGAGTCATCAAACAGTGCAAGTAAAGATGTTTTGGATTGATGTAGATGTTGACATATGATAGATGTTGACACCCTTACGGTGAATGATTGTAGGTGCAATCCAACCAATCACTGCAAGGGTTGCAGCTTGGTCAACTCCCTCCGCAGATATCCTATCAAGGAGGCACACTAGTTACAACAGCAAATGTGAAAGGCGTCAATATGAATGTCAAGGTGTCACCAGTTTCTCCCGACAAGGCTGAAAAGGAGCGTCTCAAAAAAGCACGACAAGCTGAGGCTGCTAGGATGAGGTGACAATTGTGTTATTTGTAGCAATACCTACAGGATCAGTAATCGCTTTAATGGTATTTAGTAGTTCAGATACCATCGTTTAACGCCAGCTGAGAAAAGGGAGCTGAACCTAAAGAGAACTCTTGCTCAAAAAAGGAAGAGGCAGCGAGAAAAGGAACTGGAGGAGCTAGAGTCCATTCTTAGGGAGACCAACGACATTCAGGTTGGTTATTTTTTTTAGCAGACCGCGCAGAACTGTTTCTAAACCGTGTTAGTGCATGTTATACGTTTGTTGATATTAGAGTTTGCGACCATCATAGCGCTTATGGTGCTAATTGAACGGCTTTATTTCAGGAAGATCCTGATATTACCGAACAACTTCGTGAGAAAAGAATGAGAGCCAAATGGGCCGAAGCTGCTCGGCAAAGGTTTATTCGATTTTCTGACCATATTAACACATGTGGAAAGTAGTGTTGAGGCTTGTATTCTCCAAACATTGGAAATTCACTTTCAGATATGCACGAATGACACCTGAAGAGCGCAGGGCCCACAATAATCGTCGACGTATGCGTCAGATGCAGAATGCCTTAGCTGCTGTCAAGGTTGGATGTTCAGAGTTTCTTATAGTTTTCTTTGGAGTTGTATATCTTCTGCGATTTGAATTACCATTATCTTATAATATGAGAATTGGACTTCACTTTGATATTACATGAAATATTTTACTGTTCAGGCTGCTGGAGGTACAGGTGATCCCATCAAGGATGAAGAAGCAGTACGTGCTCATATTAAAGCCCAAAATGCTAAAAAAGCTGAGGCAGCAAGACAGAGGTAAATGTCTTCCCTCATTTTTACCGTAGAATGTTCCATTTATGAATAAAGCTGGAAGTGGGATTTGTGTGCTTCTCTTCTCAGGAGTTCATAGTGCTTCTTCTGAAGTTACTGTCATCTGTATCACCTGTCGTCCCTTTGATCGAGTGACTCGATCGAGCCCCACTAAATCTTCCAGTTTTCCCTATCGCGTGCAAGAATAAGCTAGCAGGTTCTACTCCCTCTAGGGACTCGTTGAGCGTTGCACCTTCCTTCTAAACTTTTCGTTAGGAACTCTGACCTTCAGGTCGGTGGTCTTTCTGCAGTATGTATGATATCCCGAGGAATCCAATCAGTAACGGCTATTGTCCATCGTTTCATACAGATTACGTGTTCGACCCGAAGTTGCTAATAAAGAAGCATATCACTTAAGTAATACTGTATTTTCTTAACTGAAGCAAATCAACAAATTGTTTGGATGATTCTTCTCTTACGATGTCACCTAGTATGTGTGAGAGCGATACTAAGTTGTAATAGATTACCTAGTAATGATAATAATTTAATTTTGCTGCTGCGTTTGTTAGTGAGGTTTTTTCAGCTGATGTCACGGGTAAATGGTATAACAAATGATGTAGAATTTTCTCTTAGATATCACCGTATGACGGAAGAGGAGAAACGTATTTACAACCAGCGACGCACAGAGGCATTCAGGCGTCGCAGAATGGAAGAGGAAATGTTGCTCGCAATGCCTATTGGAAGAATCAATGGAGAAGCTTTGGATAGGCAATGATTCTTTATCTGCTGTATTTAAAGTAGTCTTTAATGTTGCTTGAAACGTAGTCATTTTCAGAGCACAACAGATTGTTGTGCGTAATGCTAAGCGAGCCGAGGCGGCACGATTGCGCTATCAACGAATGACACCGGATCAAAGAAAGGTTTTTAGTAGAGTGTTAGCCCTGTAATAAATTCGTCTATGAGTTTTTCAAAATATTAATTCTCTTTCAGTCATACAACCAAAAGAGATATACCCCAAAACGTAGACGGCTGGATGGGATGGATTCTATGTTGTCGTCTAGTGGTGGATCGTTGGTTTCTTGTAAAAAGGTACATCTGACTTTTTTTTCCGTTTTACTGTCGAAATTCACTTTTCGCTTAAATACGGCGATCATTTTTGTTAATCCATTCGCGGCGGCGTCTAGTTTTGCTGTCCGCCGCGAGCGACGACGCCTAATTATCAGCTTTTACGGGATTTCTTGTTTTTTAACAGTAAACAATAATTTCTCGATAACTAGAGGCCTTGAGGGGTTGAGAACACTACGGGGTTGTGAAAGAGGCTTTTGCTGTATCTTATTCTATAGTTAAGAATAATATGTGTGCTATCACTTAGTACATGTTACTATGGCACATCGGGCAAATGCATTTTATCATCATTTGGAACGGTGTTTCAGCTGCTGTCGAGTCTATTTCCTTCAAATTTTACCACCTCATAGTGGCTGGGAGGTGTTTCTGGTTGTTGGGCTGGCTGCGTTCTACAGTGGTGGGGAGACCTCCACCCAGCGGGGTCTCCCAACCTGAGAAGGATTCCGGCATTTCTATCAAAAAACCTAGTTAAGAATAAATCAATACCGGGACCCACCACCGTACCAAACTAGTCGAACGGTGGTGACGACCTGGGGAGACTTTGGCCTTGTTGAGCTCGGGACTCCAGGCAACCACAATGGCTAAACCAGCGAAACTTGGAAAAATTGGGAATTATGCTAAGACTCGCGTAGCCAGTGAAGACGGACCAGTCAAGTATTTAAGTAGGTAAATATTGAGTCTATTTCGACGTTTTTCGTTGTACCCGCACGTTCCACACAAGAAAAAACATGATTCATCGTAAGGAATAAAATGGGATAATAGTTAAATGTTAGCGAAATTACCAGTCGACTAATATTTCCGAAGAAAGGTGTTTTGTAAATCACCAATTGAAGAGAATGTTTTTTTGGTCTGACCTCTTCTAGATTGCTGTGCTTTAGATAAGCTGATTACAGGAGGTATGGTTAAAAAAACTTTGCGTGCCAAAATAAATTGTTGGAAAGAAATTGACCCTTTACACCAACCATTGCGCAGTCGCCTATGGCCACTGTGGTGTCCGCGCTGTCGCCAATGATTATAACTATAAATCAGTAGCTTAACCATATTCTTCAATAGAAGCATACGCTGAAGATTCTACTTACCATTTTTTTACATGGCATAAAAATTTTAGGAAGAGGATGCATTGTCAGCGATTGAGCGCGACGTGTTGAAAAAGACTCAACAAGCTCAACAGGTAAGAGGAAACTCGATGATGTGAGAAGCATTGTGGCGTTGAGTTGATCTTTCTAGGCAATAATGCGTCAACAACGACAAACTGTGCAAGTACTCTCACAACCCGTGAGTACCACTCCAACTTCGCAAGGAGTTCAGGGGGGTACTTATATCATTCAACAAGGGACATCAACTCCCATTGCTCATATTGGGCAAGGTCAAGTACAGCAGGTTTGTTAAACAGTTTGAATGTTAGTATGATCAGTTTACAAGGTGTGAAGACGTCAAGTTTGCAGATAATAGGAGAGGATAGCATTTTTGTAATTCCGCTATTCTTAAGCGGTTGCTGAATTTTTTCATTTCTGCTTATGTCCTAGAGGAGAAAAATAAAGGGTGAAACTCTCAGCGTCGATCAACCCCTGAGAGATGAACCATGCACTCGACCTCACTAAACATCGTTGGAGGTGATTAAATGCTTATCTGGTCTCTACAGTGACTCGCGGTGGCCCATCGGTGTATCCAGCCAGTGCTGCTATCCTCCCAGACAAGTTTGGTACCAATTCACTGACTCAGGAGGGACGGAGGAGTTTGTGGTTCTGGGGCGACGGGATAGATCCCTTGTCTATTTCGGAGAGTAGCCGACTACTTCGCTGTCTTAGAGGAACAGATGGAGAAGTGAAGGTGGACGTAGCAAACATAAACGCTAATCTGATTATTTCATACATATGCTTAGATTTGATCCACATAATAGCTAACCTTTCAACGGTTTACCGCTTCATCGTGTCTGGAAGGTGTTCCTGGGTGTCGGACTGCGATGTACAGCTGGGGCAATCGTCCCCCTGGCAGGGTCTCCCAAGCTGGGAAGGAGTCCGGCGTTCGCATCAGGAACCCTAGCTAAAAGTAAACCAATACCAAGATCCACCACCGCCCTTGTATCAAAGTCGCATGGTGGTAAATCTCCCTCTGATCCACAAGGGCTGCGGCTCCCTGTCGTGGTGACGACGGGCAGACTTTGGCCAGGCTGTCCTCGGGCTTCCATGGAACCATAATGGCTTGACCAGCAAATCTCCAAAAAATGGTGATTATGCTGGGACCCTATCACTAGTGATGACGGGTCGTTCAAGTATCAAGTAAGTAATTTATAATCATATATAATTTCCTGCGATTATTTGAGTATGCTCCACTATATAGGTCCACTATTACTTTTTCTAAGGGTCATTTGATGTAACGGAGTAACTTGCGGCACAAGTTAGAGATCCTGTAGAGTTAATTTTTTTTTGATTGGTAAAAGTATTTTTTGTACACTACTGAGTGAGAAGTCTGCTTGCTAGTAGGCTAATATCGGTGAGAAGGAGCATTTCTTTGAAATTGTTGTGATTCAGATACAGTTGACATCATCAAACGGAGTGAACCATCAACAAGTTGTACATGCTGTTCATCAGGTTCCAGTGCAAACAATTCAGGGACAACAAGGTGGTCATGTTTCTGTCAGTCAACAACAGGTGATTTCGAAATCACGTCCTTTCTTTTGCCCTACTATATCTATATCTACGCCTTTTTCCTTGGTAGTTGGTCTATTGGTAATATGTTCTTGAAGATGCCATCATCGTCGAGTCACTTGGTTGTGCAGCATCAAGCTCCTACCACTTCTGGTGGTCAACAGCTTGTCCATCAACATACACCTCAGCAGATCACCTATACTACCGGTGGAATGTTGGTGAACGGGCAGCATATTCAACAACAAATCATCAACCCCTATGGAGCACCACCTTCGCGAACTTGAGTACGATTACTTGATTTTGTTACATGAGTGATTCTCTTCCATGGGAAATCATTTATCGTTTTTCGATCACGTAGAAGTAAACATCAATCCATATGTATTTTACCAACAATGTTTTCCAGTGAAGACAGTGATGGTATGTGTTTTTCGTACATTTACACAAGTTGGATATGCTTATATTCCAACGTATTGTTGTATGAGCAATGGCAGACGATAGGAAGGGATTTTGTTTTCATCACTTTGACAAATATTTCCAACCGTCTAGATCTTACTCTGTGCCTGTTTGGGACTCTTTTTTTGCCATTTTTATGGTACATTGTTCGGATCTATCGAATGTTCGGATCATTCATTATTGCTTGAAGGTATGCGTGAGGTTGGTGATTTGTATCACTCTTATAATATTGTTTATTCTTCATTTGTTAGTTGTCTCGTGTTTTGAATATTCTGACAACATAACAGCGAATAAACATTGATAAACTTCGTTACAGTTTGTTTCGTGCTTGATTGATTGATGGCAGTGTCTATCGCTTGTATATCTGTTCCCTTTCTAATTTTACGATCTACTTTATTACACTCTGTGTGTGTGTTTGTTTGTTAACTCATTGCTTTGAAACATTAGATGAACCAACATCCGATTTATATAACTGCGGGTTCTCCGAGAGACAGCTCATCACCGCATAGCCACAGAATCTTGGAGACATTGACCCCAGCTGAAGTTTCGACGTATTCACAATCCGACCTGTCCTTCCATCCTCAAGTTTGTTTCTCAATTCGTTTTTTTTTTGGATTTTCGCTTTACAAGAGCATGGCGACATTGGAGTTTCAGCACATATAATTCAGCGCAAGGGAAACCGCTTTTGTTCCAGACAACTACGTACTACACTCCTGCCCCGACAACATTTCAGACCAATTCAACGACGATGTTCTCACATGACCAAAAGAGTGATTATGTATGGAATAGAGCACCTCCGTTTCCACTAGCGTGTTACTTTAAACTGTACACCGCACTTTCAGCTTTTGGTTCCGTCGAGGATTTCGACAGAGCTCGACCCGCACGACTCACTACATTTGCCGGAATTGTCCTCATCTTTAAGTTCATCGGAAAATGGACTGGTTTGTTCTTAATTCGAATTCTGTAACCGTAATCTAAATGTCCGGCTTTTAGCTATCGTCTATCGTTACTTTGTCGAAGGAGCATCCAGCAGTTGCACAGGCGGATCAGATGAATGCCTTTATCGACACGTATTTCGTCGAGCATAAGCCGAGTACTTCATCGCAAGCGATTGAGGGCGGAGAGCAAGAGCACGACGAGTTCGTTACTGTGTTTCTTTTTTCTTAAGTACAACTTCGTAATTCTTTTGTTTGAATGCAGTGTAAACCACACCTGGAAAGCGCTGGCAAATGTGGAATTTTGTAGTTTGATTCGTTGGTACTAGGAATTGAACTAGAATAGTCTACTTTTTACTGTGTAGTTTTTGTGAGCGTTGATTTTCTTACTGAGAAAGTAATGAGCAGCTATATCGCTCTTCCTTTTTAACAGTATTTCTTGGCATCCTTATTGTATGCTATCGCAGTTTCTGCAACCACTGTAGCACCTATCGGGTTTCCATCCATAAACGTTTGAATGTCTAGAGGTTTAGATTCGACCAAGTTGTTCAATCGGCAGTGGATCAAGACATCGAGGCTAGAAAGAAAGAGCAGAGAGAGATGGAACGAAGGGAGCGCGACCGAAAAGAATTAGATAATTTGCTGCAAGAGTCTAACGATGGAGAAGTTAGTGTTTTTTTTACTTACATTTCGGAAAAACTCAATATTTTATTGCCTAAGATCGACCTACAAAAGTATCGCGAGCAACGATCGAAAATGCGGCGTGCAGAGGCGGCTCGTTCACGATATCAACGCATGAGCGACGAAGAGAGAAAGTAAGCTTAGTTTCCGAAAGGCATTTTTCTGAATTCGTACCGTGGTCTTGTAAGTACCCTGTGTTGCTCTGTGTACTTAATGTGGTTGCCGCTATATCGTAACTAATGGCCGTAAATAACATCTAGTTCCACCAGTGGTTGAACGAGGACACAGGCGTTTAACACATAGGAATTAGAAACTGGTGTTCCAGGATTTATAATCATCGACGGCGGCTTCGAGCATTAGGGCTTGATCCGGACATGCCTAAAGGACAGTTTGTAGACAACGAAGCCATCCGGGAGCACATTAAAATGGCAAACGCCAAGAAAGCTGAAGCGGCAAGATTGAGGTGCGTTTATATAACTTGAATAGAGCGTTGTTGATAAAAGCAAGATTGCATAAGCTGGTCATTTTGCAAACACTTGAGAAAGAACACCTTCTAGGAAATTGCACGATGACGTTTATGTGTTATTGCGTCAGTTTTTTCTGCTTCAAGATATCATCGTATGTCTGCTGACCAGAGGCGAGAATACAATCAACGACGAACAGAGTCATTTCGAAAACGTCGTGTCGAGGAAGAAATCTTGCTGTCCACACCAGCTGGTCGTATTTCTGCTGAAGCTTTACAGAAAGTTAGTACTCATTTTTTCAATAGGCACTAGCAGGTGTGTTTTTGCATTGGTCTTTATTTACAGGCTCAACAAATAATGATAAGAAATGCACGTAAGGCTGAAGCTGCTCGAGCGCGTTATCAGAAAATGTCACCAGAACAGCGAAAGGTCCATTATTTAAAAAAACTAGCATACGTTGATTTATTTTTGATTTGGTACGCGTATTTAGGAATACAACATGCGACGGGCTCAGGCGAAAAAGCTGCGTGCCATGGGACGTGAACAGCGTGAAATGATGAGCTCAGATTGCTCTATAGGTGAACTTTTATCTCAAACATTTCGTTTTGTCTTCTCGTTCACTTTATTGTTAAGACGGAAGTATTCCCGACTCATCTGGATTGAGTTCATCGTATCAGCACAACAATGCGGTATCATTGATGGATTCTGGTGATATGTCCACTGTCCAGGATCGTTTGAATTTAGTTAATTCTCAGGTATAGTCTACGATTTAGAACAAATCTTATTATATCAATGATTCTGATAATCAGGTATCTCATTCTACGGACGACATTTTCGAACAAATGGAGCGAGAAGTTATTAAGAGAACTAAGCAGGTACTCGAAAACTGAAATCAATTGCAAGTACTTGTTTCAGTGTAATCTTGAAAAGTTCACTGTAAAAGAATGTCAGATGTTATACTCGACTAACGAATTTTCATTGCAGTAACATTTTCGGTTACGTCTTATTTTCTTCTTGAAATATGTTGGGCACGACTTCTATTTTGTAGGCACACATGGCTTTGGCACGTCAGCAACAACAGTCACAGGCAGGTCGGTTTAATTCCATAGATCAACAGCTTATGGATGGTGACACAGTCTTAATCACAAATGATGGACACATTGTGGATGAAAAGGTTTATGTACAGGTATTGGTTTTTTTATGGTGTTGTTTTGAAATTATCGTTTTGCCTAGTCCCTCTTGGTTGTGGGAAGAAACAAATGAATTTTTTAATGTTGCTACAAATTCTGTGATTTATTTGAATCTATTCTTCCGTTAATCTTATCTCTGTGGAGTTATTATCTACAACCATATAACTTATTCCTATCATTCTCCACTTTAATATGTTCCAAGTTTATTCCCTCATTGGTTCAAAGCTAACTCCAATTCTTTCCTCTCTTTCCCCTTATGGCACACTTTTTACCATACTTGACGTTCTTGTTGTTGGTCTATCATTTGTATATTCCATTGACTACAGTGTTGTTCACATATGGGTCAGACTGGGCCATAAATATGCTTTCCACCTTAACACTTCGGGTTGAGAGCTGAGCTTTCGGAAACTGCTGCTAACTTTCGATAAGTAGAGTACTTTGTAAGCTGGGAATTTCGAAAGCTTACAGGGAAGATTTTGCTGTATAGAGGATAGAGATATAGATATAGAGGATATAGAGGATAGAGGGGAGAGAGCAACGGGAAATAGATAGGATATTCATAAGTGTTGTTTTATTTTTGAGGTCCTCTAGAAGTGAAATTACCAAAAAAAAGTGTTGGAAGCAAGATCTAGGTTTTCGACACGTTGTATTAAATGCTTGGTTTCGCCTGGCAATGGGCTGCGTCCAAGGAAGCAAAAGCTTCTCTCGATGAATGTCTAAGAGAGTATTCAACAAAACACCTAATTTTTTGTTGGTCGCCGACTTGGTACGTGTAGTGCACCACTTAAACATCAGTATTTTCAGTATTTCCTGGATTACCAAGTGAATACGGTCTTGTCCTAAAGGTTATATTTGGCTAACGTTTTAACGCCTTCGGACAAGGCAAGTGTTTTATTTTCTGCAGAACTGGGGAAAAGAGAATTATTTGTATAGTAATAGTGGTAAGTAAAAATAGTAGTAATAATGATGTAAGGGATTAGAGTAGAATAGTATGAAAGAATTATTAGAATATCAAGTCTTGGTTATATATTGTAGAAGAATATCAAATTAGAATTATACGAAAGGATTCGCTCCACTGCGGTAGAGTTACATATTCAAAAGCGCCTTCCTGAAGTTTTTCTTTTCATTGAAAGCTTTTTGAAACTCAAATTTGAAGAAAATCGGACTCCTTCTTTTCGAATAACAATAAAGTTGAACCACGTTGGGAAACATCTTATATTCTAGTTTTTTTTTTCAATTAATAAAGGAATTTCTGGGTAGAGAACATTGAAGGACTCATTATGGTGTTCACGACATATGTATGTTGCTTCTCATTCCGCAAGCTCATAAAACTCGTACGCTGTCGAATGCTAGAAAAGGCGAAAGTGTTTATGCACACCATCGACCAGGTGCAGTCCTGTTTTCCATGATTTAGGAGAATCATTATCTTAAATAAGTGTCTCTAAACATAACGTTTATATGTCTTCTTTCATTGATAAACTAACATGAGGTTGACAAGAAAGAAAGGATTTCATTCGGCTAACGTTTCGGCGTCTTCTTCCTCAGGCACGACATTCTGATTCGATTATCGACAGTCGTTCGTACTGTAGATGTGATGTTTTTATAGCCGTATCGATTGGAATCTTTTGCATGGACCACCACTTGAATGAGGCAACCTCATCCGGTGGGAGTAACTTGTTTTCTCCGGAAAACCCATCCTGCAGCAGACGGTATGATTATCAACTAGCGCATAGCGTAACAACATTTCAAAAGTCGACTTTTCGGTCTTGGAGACATAACCAGTGTTATCTAAAATATCAGTAAAAGTTATTCGTTTTCTTTCTCAGCAATCGCGAGGTTGTTAAACGGCGTACGTTTACTTCCATACAACAACACACATACAACACATTTGTAACCGCGTTGTTCAAAGCCGCTTTTTTCATCTGTTTTCCACCTAAGAACAACAGCCGCTCAGAGTTGTATATAGTTGACGACTCTAATATCATATCTCGGACGATATGTATTTAAATTTCTAACATAATCCCACCAGCCAATCCCGAGACCGACTTTCTTTCAACCTCGGCATTGACCAGTAATTCCACGAGGTTGCAATTACAGCATTTTTGAATACAGAATAGTTGACACTTCTGCAATTTCGCTTTTTTAGAGCCTGAGAAGTTCAAATTAACATGGAACCTACTAAGCGAAACGCCTTCATAACCTTAAGAGATAAAACTTAAATAAATGTTCCGTCGAATTGTGCATAGGTTCTCAGGATCGACTTTCTATTAACCTCGGCATTGGAATATGAATGCGTCGTTTTCTTGTTCAGCAATCGCGAGGTTGTTAAACAGCGTACATTTACTTCCATAGAAAAACACAATACAACATAACAGTAGCTGACGTTTCGGCAGTATCGCCTTCTTCAGAGCCTGGAAGGGTATACTGATATACAATCTACTAGGCCAAACGCTTCAATAACACAAAAAGACGAAAAACTCTTTGGTAACTACATGATCAGCAGCTTCTCGAAAAACTCACCGCTTTTTACGTGACTTCCAATGAGGAAGTTTAGAACAGCTGATTATAGTTGCATATGGTTGATGAGTGCTCCACCCCACATCAGAAATTGATGCGAACATACGGGGTCAGGTCGGTATGACCTCTTGGCATTCCTCCCTGCTATTCATTGTAGGGTTTTTGGTATTTATCTAAAAAGCCTCAAAAAGTTTTCGTGCTATTGTTTTAGTATCCTGTGCAAGGATATTGACTTGCTTCAAAATCGTCTCCGCTATGCTTTTGTATCGTATGCGTATCTAGTGGGGTACTTTGTGTAAGTTTTCGGTTGCCATCTAGGTGTTCTTTTATACGAATACACAAAGGTCTGCCCGTTTCGCCAATATAATCATCTCTGCAATTATTACAAGAGATCAGGTATATCGTACCTGAACTCATGCAATCACCATCCCGGCTGTAAGGGCAAATTACGCAATTTGTTGTTTCACATAGACGATTTTGAAGTAAAAGTCAATATCCTTGCACAGGAGACTAAAACGCGAAAACTTCCTGAGGATTTTTGGATAATTGCCAAAAACCCCACAATGAATAGCAGGGAGGAATGCCCAGAGGTCATACCCGACCTACCTGACCCCGTATGTTCGCGTCAATTTCTGATGTGGGATGGAGCACTCAGCAACCACATGCGACTATAATCAGCTGTTCTAATCTTCCTCATTGGAAGTCACGTAAAAGCGGTGAGTTTTTCGAGAAGCTGTTGATCATGTAATTACTATAGAGTTTTTCGTCTTTTTGTGTTATTGAAGGGTTTGGCCTAGTAGATTGTATAACAGTATACCCTTCCAGGCTCTGAAGAAGGCGATACTGCCGAAACGTCAGCTAGTGTTGTAATGTATGTGTTTCTCTGTGCGTAAGTTCTCTTAAACAGCTGTTAAAAGAAGTGAAGAAAAGAATAGGAAGCTATTTTGTGTTCACAAAGTCATGAAAACGTTCAACTGAGTGCATTATGTATCAGTTTGACCTTTCTAGGCTTTTAAGAACCCGAAACAGCCGAAATACCAGCAATTCTATATTAATAACTGCTCTAATATCAACCTCATGTTTGCTCATAAAGAAGAACAGTGGGTAGTCTCACTGGTCTCCAACATCATCTAGACATCAGCAAAAACCATCGTATCTTGCTGGAGAGAATTCCACCTGATCTATCGATTTGTGCTGGTCGACAGTTGAGCCTTGATTAAAAAAAGCGTTTCGTGAGCTCCGTGATGTTATAGTTAGCTAAGAATTGGGATATAATTGTTTAAAGATCACAGATTCAATTATTTTTGGTGCTATGGTTTGCAGTCAATTACCATCGGATCCTATGTGTTAAATTCACAGGTCTCAGTCTTTAGAGCCATTCGAAAAGTGTCTTCTATGAGTATGGCCTGCTTTCAAGTGTTCATATTATTGCAGTTGTCGAAATACTTCTGCAATCGTGAACGATTTTTATTTTTCTATTATATCTTGCTCTTTATACTGTTTTTTAAACACTTTTTGTTTAACATCTCGCCGCCGTTCTACTCCGCATTTGTTTGGGCCTTCTACTTAAGTACACAGTGTTGTACATTGCGTGAGAAGTGATGTTCCTTGGAGTTTGGCTCAGGATATCTTTCATTCTTTTATAACTGTTTCTCGGATGCTAGATTGATGCTCTTCATCGGTGTACGATTGCAAGTTATGGTTAACTAATGAATGTGAATGCGTTTTCTTACGAAAGGATACGCATAATGTTTCTAGCCATCACAGCTGATAGATGAAAAGGCTCTCCACGAAATGTTAATCACTGGTTTGGACGCCAATGGGCAACCGGTAGAGTTGCGCACTGTAGACGGCACATTAATCCGGGGTGAAGAACAATTACGGTATGGTTTTCCAGCTCTTATCACTGTGTGATAGTATGGTTTGTCGTAATTTCAGTGCCATCACTAATGGTCAGCCTTTCCTGATTCACCCACAGCCATTACCTATTTCAAATGTGGATGAT